GGGGACCTGTGATGTCAGGGGGACCTGTGATGTCAGGGGGAACCTGTGATGTCAGCCAGGGATCTGTGATGTCAGCTGAGGACCTGTGATGTCAGCCAGGGACCTGTGATGTCAGGGGGACCTGTGATGTCAGCTGAGGACCTGTGATGTCAGCCAGGGATCTGTGATGTCAGCTGAGGACCTGTGATGTCAGGGGGACCTGTGATGTCAGCTAGGGACCTGTGATGTCAGGGGGGACCTGTGATGTCAGCTAGGGACCTGTGATGTCAGGGGGGACCTGTGATGTCAGCTGAGGACCTGTGATGTCAGGGGGGACCTGTGATGTCAGCTGAGGACCTGTGATGTCAGCTGAGGACCTGTGATGTCAGCCAGGGATCTGTGATGTCAGGGGGGACCTGTGATGTCAGCTGAGGACCTGTGATATCAGGGAAGACCTGTGATGTCAGGGAAGACCTGTGATGTCAGGCAGGGATTCAAGCTGTCCGGCAGCGGTGGCAGGGATCTTCTCTGTCAGGTGGGGAGACTGAGAAGAATCAGGTGAAGTCTCGGCAGAATCCAGTTTTTAGAGTAGAACTTTCCAGGAGCTGATCTTTTTTTTTTTTTTGACTGTCCATGAAACTTCTCTATTTGTGATTTACTCAGCAAGTTAACAATTAAACAAAGCATGTAATATTAAGTTTAGTTCAAACATCAAAGGTCTGATCCATTTTAAAAGGCACTGTCTTTATCATTTAATAAATTCATTTGGCATTAGAATAAAAGACTAGATATGTTCACATATTTTGTACAGTATTTATACAGAAATGACAAATCTTACTTCTTTTGCAATCATTAGTATTTTGGGAACCTCTTAGAGAAAATGAAAATGTAAAGATAATTCGATCTGCCTCCCAGAAAACATTCAAGCGCACACCTATTTTGCAAAATATAAAGAGAAAAAAAGAAAATTTCAAATTCAAAGTTACCAGCTAATTAGTGATTAACTGATCTAACCTGTTCATTGTATAGATGGGTTAAAAAGCACATTTATACTTTGAACAGAAAATAATAAACCAGCCTGCTCTGAGCTTAACAGCAGTTACTAGGGAGAAAGATAGGGAAATCAGGAGAAAACAGCCAAGGACGACTGTGGGGGGCATTGCATGTGAACAATGAGCTATGTATGCGAATACATAGGCCTGGATAAGAAAAGTTTTTAAAGATCACAAATTACCATCCATAGAACCAAATTTCAAAGATCAATGTGAAACTCAAAAGTTAAGCTGCACTTGCAAAAAATCTAGATGCCATATTTATATCCTTTTAATGGATAGTTCTATATATTATGTTTCTCTGTATCTGAAAAGATAATTTGATATATATAGCTATATATGCAGTCTAAAGTAATTTGAGCTGTTAATTTTTTAAATGGTTATACACTTTCAAAATTTACACTACAAAATTGTGTTTATATTTATTCTTGAATTATATATTTCTAACCTTTTCAGGATATGAGGACCAGATTTTCACAGCTGAATGGCCTTTATGCATGGTCTTAACTAGTTATTTCTATAGAGAAGACAAAATCTACATAATCCCTTAATAAAACATTTGTTCATCTGCTCACTTTGCCATCATACTGTGATCCATCATTAGAGTTGAAAGAAACATAGTACAGTATGGAAAGGATGGAGTAGGGCAAGGCATTGTTTTTTAGAAAAATATACTTATATAATGGGTCTTGGAAAGCACACAGACCATATGCTTTTATTTAATGTGAAGGCACAATTTTGACATAATTAAAAGCAAATGCATTTTCATCCTTTATGATGTAATTTTCAGTACCAACTCATAAAAATATATATTTGCAAACGTCACTGAAAATGCTTTCAGATTGTCAATTCAAAAATTGATTTAAAAAGTCAAACTCTATTGGTAGAAAATCAATAACACATTATTGCATGTCCATGTAATATTACTGTTGGACAATCTGTTCATCAGTGGTCACTGGGTTTTCTTCATTTGTTGAAGAGTCCCGATGGGCCATTACCTGATAGTTGCTACCTTTCCAGAACTTTTTCATTTCCTTACGTCTCCAAGCAACAATGGAGGCAGTAATGAGTGTGCAAGGTACCAAGTAGAGGAGGGCAGGCCGCCCCCTGTTCATCAGCACCAGAACAACAAACGTAAGTATCATGCCAATGGCATAGGCAACTGTGCATGAAATATAGTATACAGAAGAACCAGTCTGAACATCAAATCTTCTGCAGTGTGCAACCAACAGACCAGGTACAATAATGTCTCCAAAACCCAATAATGAAACAGGCAAGAGGCACACATTCATTACTGAGAAATAGATCAGCTTTGGTACCCTGATAACTACTGGTAACTTTTCTGTGTTTCCAAAAGGTCCAGCTGCAAGTTCAACCATAATACTCTCACCATTCTTTGTGATGAATGGTGTTATGAAAACAAAAAAAACATCATAGAGGAGGAGAAGGCCTAGAAGTATCACACATGACTTGAAGTTGGGTAACTTCAGTGTTTTAATTAAATTGAGGCAGAAAGCAATGCCCAAGATATCCTGTAATATCCAAGCCCACCTATCCTCATTTCTAAACACAGCCCAAACAACAGCTACAGCTATGCATAGTCCAGAGAGAAAAATAAGTCTCACTTCAATGCTTTTGCCACGACACGTAATCGTGCATTGTCCACATGGTATCTTATGAATTAGTGCAGCAAGACAGTTGTACAGACTCATTGCTGATGCTATGCAGAATATTGCTATTATAACATAAACCAACCACTTATAGAAGAAATACAGTAAGACCATCATAACACAGCAGATGACCACAAATACTACAACTGTAAGAGGACTGAAAGTTACATATTCTTCCTTCTTTTTCCTCATTTCTCTTTCCTCGGTGCTTGTTATTGTCTTTAAGTTTTCTAATTCAATAAGTCCACTCCAGTATCCTCCTAATGCCTCAGTGAACACAGAAATTACAAAAATAACCACCATTGTATAGTCAAAGTCAGGCTGTGGTGGTAAGTACATTTTTACAGTAATGTTACTTCCAAAAGTCTGTTTCATGTCTTTAAAGTCTTTTTGGCTTATAAATGCAATTGGTATTTTCACATCTTGAAATTCAGATCTATTCCCTGAGGGACGAAAGAGAACACTGTTATTGGCAACCAACAATGCATCAGCACCCCCTTTCTGTGCAATTCTGGCTTTTTCCAGAAAATGGCAGGGTCCCCACTGTACCACAACTGCTTTATTGTTCATGCCATGGAGAGGAAGATCAGAAAGCTTGCATAGTGGTGTGCCAGTAAGATCCATCAGACTTCTGGAAGTTGCATTTTCTAGGGTAGTTGGAAGCACTGTCCAAAGAGGATGATATAGCATGCAGTAGTCCTTGGAGGGTAAAGGGGTGCCGCTTCCAGATGCACGCAGAACTGCTTCCTGAGCAGCAACGGCAGCAGGAAGCCCCACAGCAGGGCGGCCGGGCACCGGGGCGGGCGCCGCGGCACGGCTGGGCTCGGCGGGGAGGCTCGGGGACCGGCTGGGTAAGCTGAGGCCCGGACAGCGAGGCCGAGAGAGTGAGGCCGGGCCGCCGCGGCAGCGCTGACTTCCTCCCAGGAGCTGATCTTCAAGGACAGCTCCGGAGGACGGAGGGCCAGCGGGCTCTGGGGGTGCGGGAGGTCTCAGCGCAGGGTGCCCTGTCCCTTTGGGGCCTTTGGGCTCGGCCAGTCTGGCTTCTGTGAAGCAATGACTGGGACTGGAGAAGAGCAGGGGAGACGACAGAAGACTGCGCAGTGTCGTGGGGGGCGGGGGAGGAGTTGGTGAGAGCGCCGTGCGCTCCGGTGCTGAGTGCCTGCTGTGTACCGCGTGCCTCTTGTTCCGGTTGTTTCCGAGCCTGCTGGGCGAGTTGTCTGGACCCAGCTCAGGATGGGACTGCAGGTCCTTGGTAGCTTGGGCCTGTGGTGCCCGACTACTGAGCCAAGGCTGTAGGCGCGCTCGATCCGATTGACCGTCTGAACACAGCTCTTTCAAAACAACAGCTGGCATTGAAGGGGTCCTCCTATTTGTTAGGTTTGGTCTAAAAATAGTTGGATCGATTGTTCCTATCTATAGTCCTATCTATAGGTATTCTTTTTCTTTTTCTTTCTTTTTTTTTGTGTCAGTTGTGGGGCCTGAACTCTGGGCCTGGGCGCTGTCCCCAAGCTCTTCAGCTCAAGGCCAGCGCTCTCCTCTTGAGCCACAGCGCCACTTCTCATTATCTGGTGGTTTATTGGAGATGAGAGTCTCACGGACTTTCCTGCCCGGGCTGGCTTTGAACCATCCTCAGATCTCAGCTTCCTGGGTAGCTCGGATTACAGGTGTGAGCCACCGGCGCCTGGCTCTTTTTCTTTTTCTTTTTTGAAGTACTGGGATTTAAACTCAGAGCCTAAAGCTCATTAGACAACTACTGTACAATGTTATTCCTATGTTTAGATGAAAAAATTGTAGGCTCACGAAAGTTGTGACTTAGGGCTTGCAAGCCACCTAGCTAGAAAGAGATGGATTGGAGCTCCTGCCTCTGGTGTTGGAGTCTTACTCTTCTCGCCGCGTCTTCCCGGAATTCCCGGTGCATCCTCACTACGTGCACCTCCAACCTAATGATGAGGAGAGGAAGAATTTACACAACCTGCGAGAAGCTCTGCTTCCCCTGCATTCCCGCCTCTTCTGCTTTGGGCGCTGATTGCTTTCAGGTGACCACAGCATTCTTTCTGGAGGAAATTGCCAGATGAGTTGCTGAGAGTTCAAGATGCTCCCCCCTGTTTTGTTTCCCTGCCCTGCGGGAGGTGGCGGGGGCGGGGGAGGTGGAGAGGGGGTTTGGCAGCGGGTCTCCTGACTGTCATACCGCATCAGCGTTGCTGGCTCCCTGGATGGACCCGAGGCAGGTGAGGGACTGACCATCTGTGTGTGGCTCTGTGCCGTGGGGTGACCCAGCTGTCCGCTCTGACTGAGGGAAGCACGGGGGATTTTCACAATCACATGATGGCCTGAATTCCTCTCCGAACTGGCGGCTGGTTCCTCTGTTAGGACAGAGCCGGCCGTGGCTCCAGGAACAGCACCAGCCAGGAAGAATGTGGAAGCAGGCCGAGTCTCTCTCCATCTTCTGTGGCAGCTTGCCTTTGCATCCAGACATTTCTCAGGCCCAGGTCAGGTGGCCTCACCCAGCCAAAGTGCAGGTGTGAATTTTTTCACCCACAGAAAGCTCACTGAACAATGAAAATCTCTAAAGGAAAAAGGAAACCTTCCATACTGGAGTGCTGGGGAGCGTGTGCGGGCTGCGTGCACGTGTGTGTGTGTGTGTGCACACACATGTGTGCATTTGTGATCCTCCAGCCCAGAGTGGCCTTCTTATTTTTTGAGGCTGGGGACTGTGTCTGCATTCAGAGACCTCACGATGTTAGTCTTAATGGCTGCAGATTTAGTCTTAGGGAAGAGAAAACCAGGTATTCATTCTGTTGGGGGCAGTTTCTGCTTCCTGTCCTGAGCGTGCTTTCTGTAGGGCAAGGCTCGGGGAGGCTCAGCTCCCCTAACCCAAACCCAGCTACTTAGTGTAGCCCCGCTGGGAGGGGAGGCTTCCTCCCATCCCACTCAGAAGCGTTGACAGCCTTGTTCCTGGCATGGAATTGCAGGGTGTCACACGGCATCTGGACTGTTTGCATTCACACACACACACACACACACACACGCACGCACGCCACAGCCCTGCTTTGCTCAGGGTGTCACACAGTGTCTGGACTGTTTGCATTGATACACACATGCACGTACGCGCATGCACACACACACACACACACACAGCCTGCTTTGCTTGGAATGGCACTGGGGCTGTGGGTGGGTGGCCAAAGATTCAAACTTTGTTTCCATGCAATAACAAACGTCATTTGTTTGTTTGTTTTTAATGAAAAGGCTATTCTTCCACTTAATTTGAGCAGTAGCTATTTGAAGTATAGCTACTAAAAGCTATTAACAAAAGTGATATTCTGCAGTCTCATCAACAAAGACAGGTAGAGAAGATAGAGGCTCAGAGGACTATAAAGATATCACCTTGTCTCATTGTTGATGGGAGACCCTGTCTTTTCTCCGCTAATCTGTCTCAGCGGTAATTCTTGGCTCTTGTAATCTTGACAATCAATGTGAAAGTAAAAAGAAAAAGTACAAGAATAGAATAGAAGACTCAGCCATGAAGCCTGGGAAGGAAAGATGTAGAAACTGTGGATTTTATTCTTTGAGCACTGTTATGCAGCATGTGGCAGGCATATTAGCTCACATACAACAGCTGTCTACGACATTTATGTGATTACCTACGCATGTATATATGTATGGATGAGCCTACCCATGCACAGGTGTGAACAGACAGCTCCACCTGATAGCTCACACTTGCCAAATGCTTCCTGTAGGCCGGCGCTACCTGAGCTTTCTTTTTTTTTTTTTTTTATCAGTCATGAGGCTTGAACTCTGGGCCTGGGTGCTGTCCCTCAGCTCTTCAGCTCAAGGCCAGTGCTCTACCACTTGAGCTACAGCGCCACTTCCGGTTTTCTGGTGGTTTATTGGAGATAGGAGTCTCATGGTCTCTTCTGCCTGGGCTGGCTTTGAACTGCGATCCTCAGATCTTAGCCTCCTGAGTAGCTAGGATGACAGGCGTGAGCCACCAGCGCCTGGCTACCTGAGCTTTCTTGAGTCGTCTTTTCTGCCATCACACCCCAATGCATTAGGTGCAGTTATTTCCCTGTTTCTCAGATGAAAAGCACCCAGGTCCAGAAGAGCCAGTTTTCCTAGGGTCACATGACTACCCAAGATTCAGTCCTTTCCGTCACACCCGCAATCACACACATGAGCAGGCATGCATGCATGCATGCAGACTTGCACACCGCAGACACTTCTCTGCAGAGGTCTCTTATTGTACCTCAGAGCCCATGTGAGTGCAGCCTTCGTCTTTCCTGCCAGTCACAGCCCCATCCTCGCTCTGAAGCACGTGGAGTCCGAGCCTCCTCCATGACACTATTTAATTAGAAGTTGGCTATCTTATCACCTTTAGATTTCAGACTCCACAGTGGAAGAAGCTATTGGATGGGTGCCTATGACATGTTTATGAACATATAATGATTGAACAGAGGAGTGTGTGACATTTCTATATGTGATAAGATACTTTGATCATACTCCTTAAGATACGTTTTTAAAATTCTTTACTAGCCCGTAGTAATTGTACAAATGATTTCTTTGTGATTTATATACAGTTAAATAATGTGCTTCCATCATGTTTTTCCAGTCTGTATTATTCTTGCCCTCCCCTGCTCTTCTTTTTCTTTTGAAAATCACCAAGCTTTACTATCATGATCATGAACACATGTACTTAGACCTATAATAATGAGGTATTATTAATTCAGAAGGCTCCTATGTGGTGTCATCTCTTCCTCAGCTTTGTCTCCTAGAAAGAGTTACACAATTATGGAACAAAAATACATTAAATATACAAGGTAGCCATCAATAACTAGCATTATAGTTCTACATACTTAGCTGTACTTATAAAATGTCCATTTAAAAGACCTTGACATAAGCAGATATTTGCCTGAACTGACTTAGTTAATGCTCAGTTTCCTAAACAATAAAAAGCGACAAGATCAACAGTACACAAGCAGTTGTACTGAACAATCCTTTTTGTAAGCCAGTCTTTTGAAGCTATAAGATGGAAGTGGTGTATGCTATCCAGGAATCTTAAACTATTTCTCTATGCAATAATAATTAAATAACTTCATTCATAGACCTGTGTATTGTAAGAGGTAAATCCAGAATGAAGCACATTATAATCATTTGTTTAAATTACCAAATTCCAGGAATCTGTTTGCTGTTCAAGTTGAAAGTGGGCATTTTTCTTTTGGCTTGAGCCTGTGTTTTTGTTGTTTCTTATTGAGATAATCATCTTTCAAGAGTAACAATAACTTTTCTTCACTAAACACAATAAACTTTCCTGAAAACATTAACAGGCACATACATTCCTTCTTTTAAACAGTATTTAGTTCATCTCCTCATTCGTCACACAGGCATGATGTACTTGGATCTTTTCACCCCATGACGCCCTTTCTCTGGCCCTTCCCCGCACTGCCTCCCAGTCCGCCTTTTACAGCCATTGAGCCTCTATTTTAATCAAAGCTGTATGCGTTTTCTCAGACCATTACGCTGTGCCTTCTGTAGCAGAGTGGGTTCCAGTCTTGGTGCTTGCATTCCCGCGTTCTGTGGGGCTATTTGCAGAGATGTGTTTGTGTTTCTCTTAGGTAAATTATTTAAAAGGTCCTTCCCCTGGAGGGACTGTTTGTAGATAGTCAAACGTAAACTAGTCTTGCTGTCTCCAGTTCTAAGATTGTGTTTTTCCGTTTTATTTTCCGTACAGTGTGTGTGCTCTGTGGCCCAGGCTGGTCTCAAACTCAGGGGTCTCCGGCTCAAGCCCTTGAGTTCTGTGTTAGGCGTTTCCACCACCAGGCCTGGCTATTTGTACCTTTTTACTATGATGAGACTAAGGTAGACTTGTAGCGAGAGAGGCGGGGAGGGAGGGGGGGAGAGAGAGAACTTGGAAGGACTTTTACAATTTTAGAAGAGTTTGTTATTGTGATATTTAATATAGTTTCCCCTACTGTAGAGTTAAAAGTTGGTGTGTTGCTTTTGACTTCTCCAGAGCTTCCCGGATGACCCCCTGTTGGCAGAGGGCGGGGCCGTGCGGGTTTGTACAGGGGTGTGGAGGGACTGCTTTGCAGCTATGAGCACTTCCCTGGACCGCTGGCCCCTCACACCTCTGGGCTCTGCTCCAGTGGGGGCCTGAGGGCTGTCCTGTCCACGTCCCCACCAGCATGCAATAAGCAGTTACTGCTCAGTCCCCTTCCAAAGATGTGGCGTGATGTATGAGACGGCCGTGGGAGGGCGGCGTGTTTTTATGCTGAGAAGGGCCTGGCGGTTAGGTCAGGAGATGAAGCTCTCAGCGATGCAGTCCAGCGGCTGCTCAGGCCACCATAGAAGACACTGCATGCTGAGCTGGGGTCTGCCACGCCTAGCAGGTGTTGCTTTTGTTTTTGTTTACGTTCAGTGTAAATCCAAAGGCAGCTCAGAGACACTCATAAACAAAGAGACCAAAGGTGAACAAGGCTGTGATCCAGGCCTGCTTTCTCTCCTCCCCTCCCCCCGTGGACGGACTAGCTCTCTCCTGTCCTCCTTGTCATCCACTGTGCAGAGCGATGATGTCGGATGAGGGGCTAGAGGCGCTGACATGGGAATTGCAGTCCCCGCCTGGGCGGTGGGTCAGAAGTCCACGCAGGTCTCAGCCAGGCTGGGGGGGGGAGCCGTTCCTGCTTCCCCTCCCATGAACCTCCGTAAGCGCTCCGCTCCGTGGTGACCTTAGGCCCCCACCCCAACCGTGGAAATCACTGATCAACTCGCGGTTGTAATTACTCCACACATCCATGCTCACTCCACACATTTCTTTTTGATCACTTTATATATTTTCTTAGGCTTTCAAAATTATAAGAAGCCAGGTGCCGGTGGCTCACGCCTGTTATCCTAGCTACTCAGGAGGCTGAGATCCGAGGATTGCGGTTCAAAGCCAGCCCGGGCAGGAAAGACCGTGGGACTCCTATCTCCAATAAACCACTAGAAAACCTGAAGTGGTGCTGTGGCTCAAGTGGTAGAGTGCTAGCCTTGAGCTGAAGAGCTGAGGGACAGCGCCCAGGCCCAGAGTTCAAGCCCCATGACCAAAAAAAAAAAAATTATAAGAAATAAAATTAGGTGTATTCATGATTTTAATCATCACATAGAGATAACCGCTGCTTTCTTATATACTGGCAATTATCTGACTCTCTCTCTATCTGTCTCTTTTTTCTGTTACTCTCTCTTTTTTTCTGTCTCTAGCCCCCTTTCAATCTCCCTCTCTCTCACACACTTCTTTTAAGGAGTCATTCTTTATAATTAAAAAAATCTTTGTCATATGTAGAGTACCATTTATGCTTTTTATTTATTTATTTATTGTAGTTCTTAGGCTTGAACTCAGGGCCTGAGTGCTGTCCCTGAGCTTCTTTGTGCTCAAGGCTAGCATTCTACCACTTGAGCCACAGTGCCACTTCTGAATTGTTTATTGGAGATAAGAGTCTCATGAACTTTCCTGCCTGGGCTGACTTTGAACTGTGATCCTCATATCTCAGCTTCCTGAGTAGCTAGGATGACAGGCGTGAGCTACTGGTGCCTGGCTTAGATTACCATGTTTAATCGCTGCAGAATGCCTATTAGGGATATACTATAACTTAATTAATTAATCTCCTATTGGTGGGCATGGTTTGGTTTATCTGGAGTCAGATCTCAAGCAATAAGGAGAGAGGCTGGGTCCAGGGGCTTTTTGGTCATGGGGGCCCCCTTTTTTATCTTCCCTTCCAGGTATCAGACATTGGGTTGGAGAGCATTGCTTTTCCTTGGGGTTGGAGAACATTTGGTTTCCCTCAAACAAAGCAGAATAGTGTTCTCATAGTGTCCCTCCTGACCCCAGGCTAGTAACATGGCTTAGAAAATCATTTCAAACCCATGGAAGAACGTAGAGCTCCACAGGGTCCATAACTCCAAACATCTGTGGCAAAAGCTCTCTGTCTGCGGCGTTAAAATGGGCCTCATTTTGTGTCTTTACTGGGTATTTTAAGGAAGTGATCATGATCGTTCTTTGCAATAGTCAAAATTCTCCAGCCAAGTTACGGCTTGTAAACATACGTGACTTCCTTGTGCCCGAGATTGTGTGTATGCGCGCATGTGTGCACATGCACACGGGTGTTTGTGTGTGTCTGTGTGTGGTTATGTGTCTTCCTATGACACATTGCCAAAAGGGGCTTCTGCCTGTCCGCCCTGCCCTTCCTGTCTGTGTGCCAGCGAGGAGACCGGAGCAGAGACTGCCCGTTAGCACCCTGGGGCCCGGGGCCGGCTCTGCTCCCATCTGGCTACATGTGATGAACAGCGCATATGTCACGGCACAAATCACATTTTGTTGTTCAGTCAGCTGAGACTCTGGCCATTAAAGAAATTTGCTCTGTGAAAATCAATAACCAATGGTTTCTTTGGAAAGGAGTTGTTCTTATTCCTTACGCTTGTCCTTAAAGGCAAACGGTCCAATTTCCATTCCCACTAGAGTGCAGCCTCAGGAAACCCAGGCACTTCAGAACAGGCGGGAGGCTTCTTGGAGGAAGATGGAGGATGGGCTGGCACAGAAGTCCCTCCCTCCTTCAGGGGCTGGTGCTGGCTCTGAACTTGGGCTGGGCTCTTGTCTCTTGGCCTTTTTTGCTCAAGACTGGTGCACTACCACTTAAGCCACACCTTCACTTCTTGCTTTTTGCTGGTTAACTAGAGATCCGAGTCTAAGATTTTCCTGCTCAGGCTGGCTTTGAACCTTGATCCTCAGATCTCAACTTCCTGAGTAGCTAGGCTTACAGGATGAGCGGCTGGTTCTCAGCCCAGCTCCCTTTCCACCACCAGCCAACAGTGACCCCTCAGAGGACTCAAGGTGAATTTCGAGAAGAGCCCAGGGTGCACCCTGGCCACTGGCGGGAGGGAAAGCTGTGCACAGCTCTGTGCAGCCATGACGGACGTGAAAGATCCGTTCTGCTCCCACGCCTGCCCCGTGTGTCACTGGGAACGTGACAAGGCAAACTCTAAAGGATGATGACGTTTCTTGTAGCAGGAGACCTTGGGGGGAGGAAGTCCTACACATCTCGCTTTGTGGGCAAGGCTGCTTGGCTGTTTATTTATTTACAGCTACATGCACCTCACAAGTCCTCAGCACCCTGGTTTCAAACCCTCCGGACCTGGTGGCTCTAATTCCTCAGACATGGCAGTGAAGAAGAAAGGAACAACATCTTTCTCTCTCGCTCACACACACACCCTAAACACAGAGGACGTAACCCCTGAGCTAACCTCCTGGAAAGTACTCTGGTAAAAGCAGCTCCTTTGAGCTTTACGGAGCCTGGGCCAGGAGTCTGCTTTCTGTCAGCATTCACCATCTCCTTTACATTACTGGGCGAGAAGTTTAAATCATCTCAGGACCTCTGAGCTGAGCTCAGATGTTTGTTTACCAGCCCTACCTCTGGCTTCTGAAGGCAGCCTTTGTGTTTTTCCAGCCTTAAGAAAAGGCTCTTCTGAGAATCAGCCCTTCCCCCTCTGTACGCCTTTCTGGGAACCTGCTTCAGTCTCATGAGGAGAATTAAATAAAGCGAGCACGGGTTGGAAACGGGCCCAAGGCAGGCTCCCGGCCGAGGTGGCTTGCCACGGGAAGGAACCGGCCGGCATCCTGCGTTTGTGCTTTGTTTTTGAAAGTTGGACTTGGTTGCTTTAATGAATTAACCAGCAGTCTGGTCACCAGCGTTCTCCCTGGCCTGGTGGGGGAGCCACAGGCTGCGGATTGGTGAGGAGGCTGGTGATGCTGCCTTCATTGTTGGGCTGGTCCTCGGTGAGCTGCTGGCCAGGCTGCAGGCCACACACTTCTGTGCACAGCTCCGGGCGTTGGAGCCGCCTGGCATTGTGTCTGCGGTTGGAGACTGGGCCTCGCAGAGATGGTGAGCCTGGGCTTCAGTGTATTCTCCTTTGTGTGTGTGTCCCCAACTTTCTGACGCGGCCTCAGGGTGCCAGACGGGGGAGAGGGGGAGCTGGGGGGGTGACGGTGAGCCGGTGAGCCGTGGTGTGGGTTAATGCGTGTGTCCCTGTCATCCCCCAGAGCTCCGGGAACGCGTCCTACCGCTGCTCCATGTCCTCCTCTGCGGATTTTTCTGACGAGGAAGATTTCAGCCAGAAATCTGGCTCCGCGTCACCAGCTCCCGGAGACACCTTGCCCTGGAATTTGCCTAAACATGAGCGATCCAAAAGGAAGATTCAGGGGGGCTCCGTGCTGGACCCCGCAGAGCGGGCCGTGCTCAGGATAGCAGGTGAGTCCCTGGGGCCGGGGCGGGGGCGGGGGCGGGGGACACCCACGCCTGCTCCCTGGGGCCTGGGCTATCTGGGAGCTGCCGCAGGAGGCCAGGGCCGAGTGGATGTTTACTTGGTGCTTGCATGTACCCAGAGAGCCCTTTGCCTGCCTGCGGTGGTGAGGCTGTTGGGTTGGGCCCTCTGGTTGGATGAGCGGACGACCTAGCTAACACGCAAGGAAATGTTTGCAGATATCTGCATTAATCTTTGCTGTTTACGCCTGCGTAGGGGCGAGGCGTCATGGAAGTGTTAACCCCTAGATGCCCATTCTCTGGAGGCCGTGAGAGTACAGCCTTCATCATGCTTAATCTTCCCCTCCCCCATGCTATGCAAATCTAACTCAAGTAGACTGACGGATGTTTTGGTACCCAGGAAGACAGAGCATAGCTCAGCTACTTGGATGCCTTTGTGCGTGTGTGTGTGTGTGTGTGTGTGTGTACAGCATCTCCATCAGCCTCCTGGGTCCAGGGCAGCCTGGGTCCCCTGTGCCTCTGAGGGTGAGCAGCTTGCTTCCTGATTAATTAATGCGAGGGGGGCGCCGTGTTTGTGTTCTCTGCGACCTGGTGTTCCCTTGCACTGCCTGTGAAAGCCGAGTGAGCAGCGAGGGCTTGGTTTACCCAGGTGGAAATGGAGAGCACCAGACCTCAGCCTCCAGTCTCAGTACCAGGCCGGCCGTGCGCTCCGCGCCTGACCATTGCTTCCCACAGCGCCTCCTCTCCTCTCTCTTGGGAACGGCAGCAGGGCAGGCAAGGATGTGCGGCACCCGGCCATGGCCTTGCAAGGGCCCAGTGTGTCTTTGAGTTTGTTTCTGTGCCCGAGCCTGGAGGTCAAAGCCTCCTTTTCTACTCCTATTTCTACTCAACTTTCTGCCCCCCTTCTTTACTCCCCCTCCCTGTTTTGCTTTCCACAGCGGTGCAAAGTGGAGGCTTTTTCTTCCTCCAGTTCAGATTCCCTTCACCATGGCAGCTGAGAACCCCCCTAGGGTCCCCCCACTGCGATTTTCTGATTCTGGGAAAAACACACAGGGCCCAGACAGTCATTCTCCAGTCTGGGTTTCTGGGGCAGCAACCTTGGTGGCTTCTGCTCCTGCTGTGGATGCTGCTGGCCTCACCCAGGCAGGCAGGGGTGGGGCAGGAAGGGGAGGAGGAAGTGGGGTGAGATGGAGTGGCAGCAAGTGACAGTGACCGGCGTAGCCTTGGCTCTGTGGGTCACTCCACTCCTGCCAAAAGTGTTTAGTCACTCAGGCCGGTGTGTATCTGCTGGAGCCTCCCTTAGGCCCGGGCTCAGGGGAGAGGTGACACTGTCCGTGCCAGGCTTTGGCTCAGCAGGAAGGGAACGTAGATGGAAGGTGTGTGTGTGTGCGCGCGTGCGCGCGCGTGCACGTGCTCGTGCATGCACATGCTTGCACGCATGCTTGCACACTCAGCCTGGGGCATCAAGACTAGATGCTTGTTCTGTGAGTCTGTGGAGGGTGTTCATGTCCCCTCTGTGTGAGTGACAGTCGTGAGTGACGAAAGGATAGGTACTAGTCCATCAGAGTGAGGTGACATGAACCAGGGTGCACAGGTGGGGGAATGGAGAAACGGGGGTGCACTGTGCATGGGTGGGGAAAATAGAAGAACTGGGGTGCACTATGCACAGGTGGGGGAATGGAAGAACTGGGGTGCACTGTGCACTGGGTGGGGCAATGGAATGGAAGAACGGGGGTGCACTGTGCATGGGTGGGGAGGAACAGGAGAACGGGGGTTCTCGCTGACTGTGGGTGTCGCGAAAGCAGAGGCTGTGTGTGATTCACTGTGAACTGTCCACGGAGTTTGTATGGAAACCTCAAAGTCACCTACTTTTAAAATGACCGTTATTTTTCAAAAATAGAACAGAACAAAAACAAGAATGATATGGAAATTAGAAGTGTTGGAGATTCAGTGTTGGCTTCGTGTGTCATAAATGATACCTCTAGTGGGGTAGGCCTGGGGCTCTGGCACAGGTGTCCGTTGAACCCCTGCCGTGGCTCAGCTACATGATGGGGAAGCACTCTGTGTCAAGCTGGCCCATGGCCGCCCAGGGAGATGGCAGGAGGCCGTTCCCCAAGGGGAGCCAGGGCTGCGAATGGTTTGAAATCATGCCATTAAGACCTCTGCTTCTAATTTCTGTTCTATGATCTCCTTGAAACTCACCCCCATCTTGGAAATTTCCCCTCTGAGAGGTGGAGAGGTGGCTCGGACGTGGGGTGGGCAGCCGCGGTGTCCGTGTGTGCAGGTGGGAGCGGAATGTCTTTGTTTGGAAACCCACAGAAGGAGAGTTGTTTGTGAAAATGTCCCCTGAATCCGAAAGCCCAGCGGGTCTGTGAGAAACCTTGACGAGTGTTCCCTCCCCGAGCTCCTGCAGGAAAGCCAGGAACAGCACAGGCCTGCCTTTGAGAAGTCTGAGTTTAATGTGATGAGTGCCATGGTGGAGAATGCGGTGACTGCAGGCACATAATTCTGAAAGCACCAGCGGAGAAGCTAATAGCCTGGGGGGGGGCAGGGCCCAGAGGGAGAAGGGGCTCCTGACAGGTTTCTGCCAGGCAGTGCCACAGGAGCTGAGACTAAGAGCTTCCTGAGAGGCCACCGCCCAGGCTGGCAGGTGTTAGGATGTGGAAGGGTTGGCATGTCTCCTGCAACCTGAGGCCGTGGATTGTGCTCTGACCTGGTGGGGAGCCACCCCAAGGTTCTCGAGAAGTGTGGTGACACCAGAGTTGCAGTCCTTGGCCATGGTGTCACGCGGCTGACTGTCATCTGTGTAACAGGTGTGCGACTCAGCAGGTTATTCATGGCGTCTCACCTCACCTGTCCATCCGCATATACTCTCGGACACGTGCATGCACGCACACAGTTACACGTGTGCCTGTCTGTGGAACATGCTCGCCGTGGGGTGCCGATGGTGCTTTGGAAGTGCTCTTGCAGGGACGAGGCTGCAGCCCACGGCAGCCCAGCGGACGCAGTCTGGGCCGATCCTGAAGGAGCAGCAGTTGTGCGCTCGTGGTGGTTCTGCGTTGGCTGGCGGGGCGCGTGCATGCGCTTTACACCCTGGGCCGCGTCCCGCGCCCAGCGTCGCCCTCGGCCATTTCCACAGCAGCTCCCGCGCTCCCGCGGGCAGTGACGCTGACGTCAGAGGCTCGCGGAGGACCGGGGAGGGCGGCCTGGGGCCGCGGGGA